CTTGAGCTCGTCAGCGAGGCTCAGTCTAGCGAGGTTCGCCTGTTGGGTGAGCTGGCATCTATTGGCGAGCTCACATGTATAGGCGAGGTTCAACCGTTCAGCCTGTCGAGGCTCGCTTGTTGGGCGAGCTGCAGTTTTGCCTTTCTGGCGAAGGTCGGCTTGCGGGCAAAGTTAGGCCGTTAGGCAAACTTGATGAAGTTCGCTTGAACTACAGAGTTCACCATATTTGTGAAGCTCGCCAGATTTGGGAAGCTCGCCTGAAGAGCTCAGTCCGTCTGCGTAGGTGAGCTCGCCTGATTTGAGCGGTTCGTCAAAATTAGGAACCTTGCTCCTAGAACGAAGCTCGTGGGGCTCGCCTGAACTGCTAGGCTCGCCGAAAATACTAAATTCGTCAATTTTAGGAACTTTGCCAATGGAGCAAAGCCCACCTGAGTAGGTGGGCTCGTCTGATCGATTCAGTTTGCCAAAATTGGGAACCTTACGTTTTGGCTTGGATCTCTTCAGACCTGAATAGTAATTCAGGCTATCATCAGAGACGAGGTTTGCGTCTTTTGGTGGGTGAGAGCTTATCGTCGCCGTTGCTTGGCTCTTTTGGAGAGGGGAGTGTTCATGTTAACGGTGAAGGCGGGGTTCGCGCCGACATAAATCATCGTCTCCTCTTGCATAGGGGACTGTGAGGATCGTTCAACGACCCCTCGCACAACCCTTGAACTTGCATCATTTGCCTTCGTCTCGACTGTGATGGGCTTGGGGGAGATAGAACCCCCTGTGTTTGCTCGGGTAGAGCTCTCCAGTGTGGTTGCCTCGGCCACTTAGGGATGGGCCACACACGTAACTCTGTAGCACTTGCGAGACATATTGCCGCAAGAAGAGGATGAAGATAAGTACTCCTCAAACTCGATCACGAGGGACTCAATAGTTGTCCCCACTACAATTTTGTCGAACTGCACCACCACCATTTCGGTTAAAGAAATGGTTCCTCCCATTGTGGTCGCCATCTTCTGTAGGTGCTCTCATTTTTGTAGTTATAAGAATGGCTTATTATAAACTAATAAATAGAAGCGGAGAGAAAAGCTCTCCTTGTTTAACGTGATTTCTTTGGCAGTGGTAGAACGCCTCCGTCGGTGCTCGTGCCGAGTTTGCTTTCCTTAGATGATCCGATTGACGTTACGGTTGGAGCTTCAGTACGTAGTAGAAGCTCGGTTGGATGAGTTCGACGGCTGAGCAATTACTTGATTGCTCGGAGTCTAAGTACGCCGAGATTTCAAAGTTCGGTCCTCTTCAGCTGAGGATTCGAACGAGATCACGAACAAGCTGATTGCCAAGGAGTTTGCAAAGAGTCAGGCTCGATTCTCTTAGAGCTTAAGAGAACTGATTGCCAAGGAGCCAAATAAGTTCGGTCTTGATCAAGAGTTCAAGACCAAGTCAGCTTAAAAGATCACGTCCCAAAGAAGGCCAAGATATAAGAGTTTTAAGATGTCAAGCTCTTCTCAAAAGAAGAATGTCAGCCTCTGATCCAACCCCTTTTTGATAGCCATCATTGGCTATTTATAGTGGAGAAGAAGCATGACCACTCCCTCAAATTGTGTGATTGTGGTTGAGGGGGACCATAACTCCATTCCTTAAATATTAGGAAGTTACCATTAGAGGTGAGGAGAACCCATACTCCATCCCTTAGCTCATGGGGAGTGGGTGTACTCACTCCCACGTTTTAAGCTCAAGTGGCTGACTTGGTCCAGCTGTACAGACGAGTTTGACATTACAGGTGAGCTGGCGAGCTTTCAGGATAGCAGGGGAGTCTACAGGCGAGCTTGCTCGTGCAGGCGAGCTTTACGGGCTTTGGAATGCAGGCGAGCCTGGGTGCTATAGGCAAGCTTCAAGCTGTCATGCGAGCTTTCCTTGTACAGGCGAACTTGCCTTGTACAGGCGAGCTTCAAGCAAGCAGGCCAGCTTCAAGCGTGCAGGCGAGCTTTAAGCGTGCAGGCAAACTTCCAGCTGTCGAGCGAGCTATCCTTGTGCAGGCGAGCTTCCAGCCGTCGGGCGAGTTTGCCTTATACAGGCGAATTTCAAACATGCAGGCGAGGCTGTGCAGGCGAGCTTCTAACTGTCAGGCGAGCTTGACAGGCGAGGCTGTGCAGGAGAGCCAGCCTCATTCAGGCGAGCTAAACTCCTTTGCATGCGAGCTCCAGAACATGCTACGAAGAACAGGTCATACTTTCAAACCGTAAGTCAGAATTGGACGATTTATATATGAAAATCGACTATCTCGACGAGACGGAGCCGACCAAACCCACCCTAAAGGGTTTGGTTTGCTCCTGACCGTTTTGCCAAATTCCTTCCGGTTTGAGAAATATCAGTGTTTTTCTTTTTTTTTTTTGCTACTTCGGGCGAGGTTTTAGCAATCTTGCTCTGAACTTCTCCGATATGGATTAAAGGCAATTTTTATTGCCTATAATATCATTGGCCAATTTCCAGTTGTTATACTTTCTAAACTCCAAATCGAATATAGCTTTATCAACTTTCATTAGCATGGGTTTCTTAGGAGTTTGTTCAGCAAAAAGAATATCCTAATACCCATAAAAAATTAATAACATATCAACTCTTTGTTTCCAGTCCACATAATTAGTTCCGTCCAGAGCTTCATTTCTCAGAATATCCGCAAATGCAAAACCACCACTAGGTGAAGACAATATTATTCCTATAGAATAAACGTACACAAATTATTCACACATTTTATGATTTTCAATAATCTCAATTTACCCCATGGGGATTTATGATGATTATCAAATTTCATAAGAACAAATCACAACAATCACACATCTAATCACTAATATTATATGACTCACATTAGCCGATGGGGATTTAGTAAGCCATATAATAAGTTATTATCTATTCAGCAAACATAATTATGTGATTTACATTACCCGATGTGGATTTAATAAATTATATAATTAGCCACAAATCACTACAATAAAAAAACATAATTATATGATTCACATTTACCCGATGGGATTTTGTCAACCATATAACTAGCCACTAACTACACATTAAGCACTATCTAATGGGGATTTTGCAAATCGTATAGTTAAAGGATTCGGATCCTCTCCACTACCAAAAAAACAGTGAAGGGACCACTACATAATCACGGCCATTGATTATCTAATTAATGGTTGTGATTTTTTCTTTTAGTGCAAATTAAGAATGAGTGCAATACACGGGGGTATGGTAAGTGTTAGATTTAGATTGTATCATAACCGCCTACTAAAAAATTAACGATTAAGATTAAAAGCAGTGGTCTCTCCACTACTTTTTTGTAATGGAGAGGGTCCAAATCCATAGTTAAAACATTCAGTCATAATATCGATCTGAAATCCTAAGAGACATATATCAATTATAAGACGCTAACACTTGAACAAGCAGAAACTTGAAAACATAATTATATAATTAATGATGTTTCTGTAATTGATAGGGAATGTATACATGACTGCTCGTGCGCCATGTGCAAATGTCTCTGTACCCGTGCCCTACTCTTTGGTAGAAGCGCTTGAGTTTGATTTCCAAATTCCATCCTCTAAAGTGTCCATAAACAGAGCATATGAGCAAAAGATAACTGTTGCAAGAACTACATTGAATTGAAAAGAAATTGAGATGGCTAATGTAGTCTTACATGTACATATGTCAAACTACTCCATCATGAGATCAGGGACTAAAAATAAAATTTGAAATACGTAGCTACGTGTTTCAATAAGAAAGCTACTTCACCAAATAACAAATTTCAACTGAACTGGAAGATCATATGCATATAAGAACACTATTAAGAAAAATTCCAGTAAGGATTAATCAATATAATCATGGAATCTAATTGTGCTATTCTAGCACAGGCATAATCGCCTGTAGTTGTAAGCAATGTCAATGAAATTCCATATAACAAAATTGGTAATTCATAAATTACATACCTCCGTGACGAATTTGATTAACCTTCTCCAAATGATCACCGATTTTCATAGCGTCATCCGTAGATTGATTTTCCATTATAGAAAAAATTTTCTACAAACAATTAGCTTGCACCTTTCGGCTAGACAAGTAGAATTGCAGCCTCACTTGTAAGACCATGGAGGAATATATATATGAAAAAGCTTTTACCATCCATTGAGATAAAACTTTTCACCTCCTCATGTGGAATGTGGAGTTATCACTAGCCATGATTCTCCACATTAATATGCTAATAAATCCATAATAAAAACACACACATGACCTTTGGGTTTTCCAATAAGTTACAAAGGTTTAACATAATTTATAGGAAATTAAATATATTAGAAATATTTTGAAATCATTAAAAATCTTACACCTAGTTTCAAGCCTCCAACTTGAAACAGCTAACTACTATATCAGTATGATAGTAGGCGTGGAAATGAACCAAATAATCAACAATCAGTTCATTAATTCATCCGAATTATTCGGTTATATTCGATTTGATAGTTCATTTCATAGTAATCAAACAAATTTACCTCAATACTCGATAAATATTTGAGAGGTTTTTGGCATTCGAATTCGAAGCAATTCAGAGCGTGTATATTTGAATTCGCATTCGAAACGGATACAAATAAAAACACCATAGAATTTGATTGGATTCACTTCCGCCCCTAATGATAATCTTTCCTTTTTGGAAGTTAATGAAGTTTCAAATTAATTGATAAAGAAGCGCACGCGACTATATACTTCTTTGTTAAATGACGCTACTAATAACTTGCGCAATACGAGAGTACAATGAAGAACCGATTAGAATTTCTCAATTCTCCTTTCCGAAAATCACCTCTTATACATAAAAGTTTTTATTCTTTGATATCAAATATTTTCCCTCTTCACGAGAATTTTCTCCAAACACTGTTTTTCTTTCATGTTTTCAGAGCAAAAGTAATGTAAGTGCAGAGTTCCTACAGAAACTAAACTAGGTAACGAAATTCGAACTTCAGATCTCCAGAGGATTAACAGAAGCTGTATCAATAATTCAGAACTCGCTGAATAACTATAATATGTGCTGCTCATAATAAAGGTCGATTGAACTTCAAAAACCATGGAAGAAAGTATTACAATTTGCAATGGACAGTGGAATAAAATAATAAATAGAATTTACATATAAAGTCTAAAGATACACGTCCATCATATGACATGAAAAATTATTAAAAGTGAAAAGGAGCAGGCAATTTTCAACAGGCACCCCTGCTTTCTCGCCCATGCAGTGTTTATGGTTACAAAGATTCAGCTTCTAATTTCACCATAAAAGCAGAAGTGAATATCATTATCCCGTCATTCTTGTGCTTTTTCCTTCTCTATTTTCTGCAAAAATATCAATAACGAGATGAATCAACAAATAATAGAACACCATGAAACTTATTGACAAACCCAAGACAGGTAAACGTGTATAATGATGTCAATAGCAAAAGTAATTAGATACCAGTAAGTTCAAACTAGTAAATGCACATTAATACAATGATTATCATAGACAGATACTTCACAGCTACTGAAAATTGAAGGAAAATTAATTTCATGTTCAAAACTAGCTTTACAATAGTTTGCAGCCTAGCAAAGATCTCTGGCCTTTTTGTTTGACCTCCGAAGCAGTATCTACATTTTCAAACATCACATCAATTTTCAGATCAACGCTAAAGCCATGCTATTATTAAATTTGAACCTTCAAGTTTCACAAGCTTGCATGCTGTTGACTGGTATAGCGCCAAGAGCAGAATTGACCTCCAGAACCAAATACAAGAGTGATACTCGAATAATACACGCTACAGATGAATATTCAAATGAAAACCCATGCTCTATTATTCTAAAGTTCTATCACAGATATCAAAGATGTAATTCATGTTTCCCCTCCCTTTGGTGTCTTCTCTTCTCACTCTTACTGACATATCCTTTGCTACTGAGGACAATACCTCAAATCTGTAGTATCACTACAGCAACTCAACTATTAGCCATTTCCACAGGGACAAGCTATTTTATTTATGTAAAACATCATATTAATAAGCTTAAGACTATCGCTAACTAACCAAAAGCGTATTTGCAGAAAGCAGCGTGAAAATGGCTTACACTTAAGTACTGTTATAAATAGCGGTAAATAGCCTCGTAATAGCGGCGCTAATAGCGTTAGTGGTCCCTTCCCGCGACACTATCACCCGCTACGCTATCGCACAATAGCGGTGACATATTGCGGAATATGTCTGTTCGCAAAAGCAACTAATAGTGTGTCATAACGGTAAATAGTGAGCGATTGTATTCAAAATTTGCTTTTTGACTGCTATTTAAAGACGGTTTGAGGCTTATTTTTTAAAATTAAACTCAACTCTTGACCATTGCATTCCACCGTCTCCTGTGAATTTCAGCATACTCCCGCCATCTCTCATATCCTCTGGCACCTACCTTGATACTTCCTCTCACCTCCTTCACCGTGAGCTCCTCTTAGGACAGTCCTGTCACCGCTAAGCTCTTCTTCTCGAAGATGACGACTTTTTGACTCCTCCAGTCATCTTCGGTATTACGTGATGGTTACATACTTACATGTCTATTTCATGTTTAGGATCTCTTTAAATCATCCAATATGTATTTTTAGATTTTTTAGATTTTTTTTTAATTTTTTTAGTATTTATACATGTCTAAATTAGACCGCTATTTGACTTTGCGCTTTTTACCGCTATTTTACCGCAATAGCCCGAAATAGCCTTAGCGATGTCTCACCGCTACGCAACGCTATCCGCTATCGATAACCTTGCACTTAAGACAGCCTTCTGTAGAAAAGGAGGGGGGTAGTAGTTTATTTTGGAGGTACTGACGTGAAAATTATGAGATCTCCCAAGTCCTAACATAACGTCGGAAGGTTTTATTCTTTTGTATCTAGAGAGTTTTTAGTTCCTAACCTGACCATGAGATATAACAATCATACTATTTATACAAATATGCAATTAGATTACATACCGTTTGTGGACTTTATCTAGAACAAAAGAACTATATCACATAAGTATTACTTGTAAATGTCCAGTTGTATATTTTGCATGTATACTCTTTAAGTTGGGAATTTGGAGATTTTCAGTCAGTCAGCAGGCATGGAAAGACCATTTTCTAAGTCAAACCAATAAGCTTCACACGTCTAGACCTGACTAGTTGAAACGACTGAGTGACAGGTAGGCTGCAAAAAGCCATTCGCTAACTGCTTGGCTCGATTAGATCAGGTCAAGACTCATGATCATAGATCCATATTACTTCATTCAAACACGAATTCAACTTAGAAAGTTTTCAAGGTAGACTAAACAAGTTACACTTAAGCTCAATAATAGACATACAAGTTTTTTACAAGTTTTCACTTGTGACCCTCACAAAAATGAGCAAAGAACGTAAAACTGTATGATGTTTTGACGCACATGACCTGTCCCTTCATCATTTATCCACCCTTTATTAATTTACTACTTTTAGACATGCTACCTCCTCTCTAATTAATTAACATATAGTTATGATGTGGCATTTAAAAGATATGGCTTTTAACAATAGATAGAGAGGGAGAAATAGGATCAAAGTCTCTTTTGATTTACAAACTGCCTATGGTTATGATCGAGAGCTAGCATCACTTTCTCCTTAAACTAAAGGGTAAGGGCCTGTTTGGCAACCCACTAAAACTGGGCCAGTTCTAGTCCTGGCCCGATTTTAGTATATTTTCTATTTGGAAAAACCTGGGCCAGCTCCGGCCCTAGTTTTTCTTAGTTCATTTTAGGCCCTAAAACCAGGTAATTGGTCACCCACCCACCCACCCAACTAACTTTGGCCTGATTAAGGAAAAAACCAGACCTGGCATGGTTTTTACTTGATTGCTGAACAGAGCCAAAAACTTCACTGATGTAAAGATATGCAAAGAATAAAGCATCGATGTTCTAAACTTCTAATTCCCTCTAAAAATGACTGCATGACACCCATGAGAAACTTCTAGAAATTTGGTAAATTGACATGATCCCAAGTTTTGATCAACAAGACACAACCCGAAGGTCTGCTATTTTCCTGTCAGTTTGTTTAGAATTTAACTGCAAGAAGCAGTAACATTAAAGTTAAAAAATAGCGCAAACTGCAATATTAGTAGGATGTCAGCTTGTTAAATATGAGAAAGTCATAATCAACCCAAGCTCATGCCGACAGATCAGTTAATCAAGCCAAGCATGGATGTCTAGTCTTATTTCTTCCAATATACAACCAATGTTGTGGTCTTCCATGTAAGGTCATTTACCATCCTACAGCAGAGAATTGGTTTAGGATGGGGAATAAGACTTGGGCAGCCAAGTTCTACCTGGAAAGTTTAACCCGAGCTGAACCGTCTTGGACATAAATGAACCAAGCTTAAATAAGTGACCTAGGACCAGGCTTGGCTCTTCTACCCCTGATTTGCATTGTCCAAGCCTCTACCTACCAATTTTGTGAACTTTCGAGTCTCAGATGTGCAGGAAGCTAAACCTAATTACCTTTTTCAAGCAAATTTTACGTGTCATCAAGAGACATATTGATGTAAAAGTAGAAATTTATTAATTACTCTTGCTGGAAACTTATTTTTAGAAACCAAGAGAAATGCTTAGTTACACAACAGGTATCAGACCCTTGAATTTTGGAGCTTTAGTGTTTACAACTGTAAGTCTGTGACAAAGTTCAATTTTCAATCACATGAAATCTTGATGATATCTTGAAAGGATATGATGCTGAAATTGGCTCCATGGACTATATGAATGATATCTAACATAAATATTCTATCTCTACAAATTGCATGATGGTCCATGGACCACGTGAAGCATTTGATATTGTTGAATGAAAGATCTTAAGAACACACTAAATTTGCTACTCCTGCACAGCTAAACAGCATATTTCTAGCCATCTAAGTAGTATATCTCAGATCTGATCCAAGTCTAGTGTTCATGTAGTTATGTCATATCATATATTGATATTGACTTTGTTCAAAGTGGATGGTTCCCAGTGGTTCAGAGCTTGATAGTTCATAGCATATATTTATTTACAGACAGCAAGATATGCATTAGTCTCATGTCTAACCGTGATAGTCAATGTGTCCTAGAAGTTTGATATCCTCTAGTGGTTAGATGGAAGAGTTGAGATGTCTCCAACGGGCCAAGAAACCTCATGACAATGTGAAGTCAAGATACCAATCTGAGCCAAAAATACCCATGTTGAAAATTTATAATTAAAGCTACAGCACAATCCGACATGATTTTTTTGCTGAAGGATAAACCAAGTAACTCAAAGCTGAGGATCCAGGGCTGCGATATAGCCAAACTGGCTGATCATGGAAAGATCTGTGACAGTGAGCTCTTTAGCCTCTTTATGAAGCAAGTGTATTTAGCAACATTAAACAAATCAATCCCATAAACTTCCATCGCCTAAAATTAAATATAATTTAAATTCCCCATGAATTTTTTTCAAAATCACAAAGAAGACGCGAAGCTTAAAGCTTTTGATTTGTGATCTTGTCATCGAAAAGGTATTTAAACCATTGATCTTACTAACCATGTCAACCACAGATGATCCGATAGCTCTCAAGAAAAGCTACCGAAATGATACAGCATATATTAACCAACAGTTAGATGGTAGGCTTCTTTACTAATATACGCAGTCTGCTATGCAATAATAGGAGGGAACACTTTCATTCTTATGGAATTAAAATAGAATTAATATCACAAGGAATTCTAACCATTACCTCTGTGCATTACCAGACTTGTTACTGATCTAAGGTTTCATGTACATGAATCCGAAATTTAATAGATCTTGCACATCAATTCAGATTTGTCATCTAAAATTAACACGCACTCTCCTCAAACAACTGATAATAAACAAATTGTCAGGGGCCAAAGTTGCCCTCAACCTCTTCCTCGACCAGCCATAATTTCAGTTGACGATATTTGGCTTGAATAGTAAGTGAAGAAAATAGAAGAAAGAGAGAGAGAGGAACAGGGAAATATAGGGGAAGCAGCGGAAAGGGAGAAAGAGAAGAGATATAGCAACAATATTATCATTCATACCCATCACTAATGTCACAAACGCTGTATATATAGCTCTACTCACACACTCCTAAGATAACTGCCTAAATAAATACAACTAACTACTAGCATAATAACTACAACATAACTAGTCATAACTCATAACTATGTCAAATGCTCACACCCACCAAATCGTGTCTCTCATCTTCGCTGTTCCTGACAAGTCTCCCTCCTTTAAGTGAGCTCGCACTCGAGCTCAATATTGTTGAAGCCCCAATTTTTTCCTTACCCTTCAAGTGGAATTCCTCCAATGAAGAA